GAGAGTCGAAACAGAACTCGACAAATAAGAGGTTTACTGGAAGCAAAATGAAATTTCCCAAGCAAATTTGAGGCCTCGATGCTGATAGACTGGGCAAAGAGGTTACGTCAGACCTCAGATCTGAGGGACAAGCTTTGATATGAGGTCGAAGAGTCTATAGCATTGATATCATGTTAGAATTTCATAATACTTCAGAGAACTCTCTGTATATTCATTGATAAAGAATATACAAGACCACGTTTAAATATACGGTTAATAACAGTTCTGGATAGATATTAACAATTATTGATAATTACTAACTAATCTTATTATAATCAAGAAAGACATAATCTTATTAAGAGATATATACCCATACAGATACATATCCAGACTGATATGTATTCATAATGATGTATATCAATATAAATATCCATACCCTAACAGATGTAGGGTATCTATAGGTGATTGTATTACCCAGAAATAAAAAAACCCTATACATCTATGTCTCAAGGCATTGTTTGTTTTGCTTAAATGTGTTATTCATTTCTTTTAAATATGCAGCATGAATATGTGTTGTGCATTTTTGTCACCCTTCTAGGGGTGGCAATGGGTCGGGTTGGGTCGGGTCGACCTAGCCCCGACCCGACCCGAGCCAGACACAATTCAGATCCATGGTTTTGGACTTGGACCCGACACATTGGTCCAAAACTTGGACCCAGACTCAACCTAGTTTGGGCTTGGGTCGGGCTAGAGTCTAGAACCTAAAAAAAAAAATCCTTTAAAAAAATATTCAAAAAATACACACATGCACACACACCATACATATATAGACAAATTTAACAAAATATTATATATGTTAAAAAATAATTTATATATACATACATATACATATACATATACATATACATATATGTGTGTGTTTGTGTGTGGATATGTTCAGGTCGGGTCTGGGTCGTTCTACCTGGACTCAAACCCGACCTAGATCTGACTTAGGTCTAAGGTTTTGGACCTAAACTAGACCCGCTGGGTCCAAAACTTGGACCCGGACCTGGACTCATAGGGATCTCAATAATGCGCGTCCAAAGCATGCTTTTCTTTGTCAAATATGGATACCCTAGTCAATAGCACTACTAAACACTAGATGTTGTTCTTCATAGATGACTTTTTGGGATACAATCAAATCAATATGGCAAAAAAGATTACATATACATATACTACGCCAAGGGGACATGTTATAGGGCCCTTTAGCCTTAAGAATACTGGGGCCATTTACAAGCGAGCTATGACCCTTATATTCCACAATATGATGGACATAAAAAAAAAAAAATTATGTTGATGACATTTCAGCAAATCTAAGGCTAGAAATGACTACCCAACCAGGTTATACTCAAATATTAGCTTGATTTGAACCAAATATTAGCTTGCTTTGAACCTTCAAAATTATGCTTTTGGGGTCGCATCATGAAAGATATCCAACTTCATCGTTTGCCAAAGGGACATAGAAGTTGTCTCTATGGGTGGCAATAGGCCGGGCTCGAGCCTGCCCTAGTCCCTACAGGGCCTACCCCCAGCCTTGCTTTGCCCTGAAAAGGCCAAAGAGGCCCTGGCCCAAGTTCAGCCCGACCTTGTCATTGGGCCATGGTGGTCCGGCCCTCAAGTTTTGGGGCTAGTTAACTAGGCCGGGCCAGGCCAACCATCCAATTGCCAGCCCTAGTTGTCCCTCGATTGGAAAACAAGCGTGCAACCTTCAATAGTTTATTGAAGAAGGTCAAACCTTTGATATGGGAGCAGAAGTTCCAAGGAGACTACCAGGTAAATGCTGCGGTTCTTAATCCTTCTATCTATGACAAGCCTTGTTTCTATTTAATATAAAAGAAGAAACATGGGAGCAGTTCATGAGCAGTATGATCCGAATCATTGAAAAACATTGCTTTGCACGCTTGTGTGGAGAACTCAAAAAATTGAGGCGCCTGCCCATGATAAGCCTTCTTCCTATACACGTTCCATTAAAGGAAGAAGAGTGGGAGCAAGCTATAGTAGTATGGTCACAACAATTGAGAAATATTGCTTTCACTGTTGTGGGCTACTAAAAAATTGGGGCAATTCATTTTGTTGCACACCAACAAGTGATACCCAATATGGATATTTCCAATTTTGTATTCGAGATATTCACCTAAAAAAAAAAAATGGTATGTAATCCGGCCTTAATGGATGCTTAGGTAAATGGGGAATGCATCCAATTTAGTTCGAGATTGAATACACCACATAAAAGTCAATTATGGGGCAAGCAATCGTCGACCACTTAAAAGTCAATTATGGCGCAAGCAATTGTCGACCACTTAGCCAAGTAAGTATTACCTCGCAATGCGCTAGTGAATACAGATTTGCCTATTGATAACCTTGTCATCATTGAAGACCCAATCTGGGAACTGTATGTTGATGCTAGTTATGTATCCTATGTTAAAAAATGACGGTGATAATCCCCGTAGAGCCATATATAAGAGTAGAGTTCCTTATAACGGGACTCGAGAACGCCATTCAAGCATAAACTGAACAATTACATGTTATTCCCGACTATTTGCTAATGGTCAGTAAGTCCAACTCAACAAAAAGATTAAGATAAGACAAGTCTAGAAAATTGGAAAAATCAAGATGAAAAACTATACACATATCAAGAAAAGTGAAAAAAATTAATGAAATGCTTTAAAATAATAATTTTGTAACATGTAACCACCTTGGCATCTGTGGTTGATATCCCATTAGAAGTGAACATGCAACCATTTCATATAAAGAAATAAACAGAATACCTTTCCTCCTAAAATGGAAAAGTAGTGAAGAGAAGAAGAACAAGAAGTGCTGCAACTTAATGAGATAGACTTGACATGGCCAAAACCGTGGTACCACACATGCTGGTCGTCTATAGGTACAGTAAAGAGCGCAGTGGAACCAACAAATGAGACATAGAAGCTTTAGGGGCCTGTTTGGATAGGAGGAAATTAAGAATCTTGTATATTTGAAATCCAAAAAAATTCATGGATTTTCAGTATCAAGGATTATTGTCATGGATTCCTAAAAACATTCAAGACAAATTATATAATAGCGGACGATTACATTTCAAGAAATCCTTTGATAAAGTCTTTTAGAGGTGCATCAATCACCTAGACAGATGAAGTCCTTAAGAACCTGCATAGTAAGGGAGGCAATGAAATATGCAATCGATGTAGATTCAAGATTTGTGGATTGTTTTGGCAAAGTTTTATGTTGGTTGTCTTTCTAGCATAACCACATCCTTTACCCGGGCTTGGGACAGGTTGAGGAAAAGTTTAAAGTCATCACCTTTCTTATACCTCAATACCCCACATGTAAAATTCTCATACTATATAACAAGTCCCCTGCTGTATG